ACTGCCAGTGTGCTGGGATGCAGTCGCTCAGCCTTAACACCACAAGGATATTAAATTTAGGAACAATGAAGATAAGCAGAAACGAATAGCAGCAGTTTGTGGGTAAGCAATGTTATCACTTCCTCACCCACTGTATTGCCGCCAGAGCCTTGAACTGTTATAAAACCAGGTGGAAAAACAGCTAAAGAAGCTTTCTTGTGCCCTGAAATTTCATCCCCGGCATTAAGGTAGGAAAAGAAGCACCTGTTAGACCTCCATCTGCAAAGCTGTTACCAAAGAGTCCAAAGAAACACTGCCAGATTTTTTTTTTTTTAAAAAAGCCAAACTAAAATGATCAAGGGTCTGGAGAACAAGCCCTATGAGGAGCGGCTTAAAGAGCTAGGCATGTTTAGTCTGCAGAGGAGAAGGCTGAGAGGAGACATGATTGCCATGTATAAATATGTGATGGGAAGTCATAGGGAGCAGGCTTGTTTTCTGCTGCCCTGGAGACTAGGATGCGGAACAATGGCTTCAAACTACAAGAAAAGATTCCACCTGAACATTAGGAAGAACTTCCTAACTGTGTGAGCTGTTCAGCAGTAAGGTAAAGGTAAAGGTTTCCCCTTGACATTAAGTCCAGTCATGTCCAACTCTGGGGGATGGTGCTCATCTCCATTTCTAAAGCTGGCATTGCCTGTAGACACCTCAGTGAGCGGTACCTATTGATCTACTCACATTTTCATGTTTTCGAACTGCTAGGTTGGCAGAAGCTGGGGCTGACAGCAGAAGCTCACCTTGCTCCCCAGATTTGAACCAGCAACCTTTTGGTTAGCAAGTTCAGCAGCTCAGTGGTTTAACCCACTGTGCCACCAGTATTAATTCCAGCAGTGGAATAATAATAATAATAATAATAATAATAATAATAATAATAATTTTTATTTATAGACTGCTCTGTTTCCCCCGAAGGGACTCAAGGCAGTTTCCAACAAATATGGCAAACATTCAATGCCCAAAGAAAAAAAACATACAAACTGTTTACATCAGTACAACACACATTAGACAATAGAAAACTACATAACTATAATTTAGTAATCAAAATAGCAAAAATTAAAAATAAGAAATAAAATTGGTCATGTCAGGAGCGACTTGAGAAACTGCAAGCCACTTCTGGTGTGAGAGAATAGGCCGTCTGCAAGGACGTTGCCCAGGGGACGCTCGGATGTTTTGATGTTTTATCATCCTTGTGGGAGGCTTCTCTCATGTCCCCGCATGGGAGCTGGAGCTGATAGAGGGAGCTCATCCGCCTCTCCCCAGATTTGAACCTGTGACCTGTCGGTCTTCAGTCCTGCTGGCACAGGGGTTTAACCCACTGCACCACCAGGGGTTAATTTTAATTTTAAAATTAAGTAAAAACATAATAAAAATTTGAAAAATCCTGATAAAACACACTAAAAATAAAATATAATATATGGAACTCTCTGCCCTAGACTGTGGTGGAGGCTCCTTCTTTGGAGGTTTTTGAACAGAGGCTGGATGGCCATCTGTCAGGGATGCTTTGAATGTGATTCTCCTGATTCTTGAAAGAGGTTTGGACTGGATGGCCCATGAAGTCTCTTCCAACTCTATGATTCTATGAATGACTTGAATACAGGACTCAAATGTCTGATGAAGTTACAAAGCTTCCATGCAACGGTGAATGAATACCCCTTTATTTAAAAGCATCACTCTAATTTCTCATCTGAAACCAGCACTGGGTATTAGAAAGCGTTTATTAGAAGTCATGAATATTTACATAGTAATCTCCCCATCACCATCCAAGCGCTTAAGTGGCTTTAAATACGTTAGCCAAATGGCCTTTACAACAGTTCCGCAAGGGAGGTTGCTGTAATTTATATTTCATTTTAAGTATTCACTTTTGCATCTGATTGGTTAAAATAACTGGTTCCTTGAGCCCCATTTGCAAAGGCAACGCATAAATATGACACTCCATAATGGCATCGTTATTATGCCACAGGGTATAAAAACATTATGTGCAAGCGCCAAAAGCGAAGAGAGAACTATAACTTAATCTCATTTGCCCAGTTTCCAACAAACCTCACAACCTCTGAGGATGCCTGCACTGATGTGGGCGAAACGTCAAGAGAGAATGCTTCTGGAACATGGCCATACAGCCTGGAAAACTCACAGCAACCCAACTATTGCTTGTTTATCCTTTTCAAAAGATCGTTGCAGCTATGGGCAGTCATCACACTATAGAATGAATCTACTTGTAGTTTAGTGAGGAGCTTTTAACAGCCTCACTAAAGTACAAACCCCATTATTCTGCAGGCAGCAGAAACTGGATTTAAAGTGGATTCTTTCTCTAGTGCGATGAAGTAGCGGGTCCCATATTAGAAGAGAAAAGGGGTATAAATTAAATAAACAAACAAGACTTTGTCCTCATTGGGTTGTTGTGTATTTTCTGGGCTGTGTGGCCATGTTCCAGAAGCATTCTCTCCTGATGTTTCACCCACATATATGGCAGGCATCCTCAGAGGTTGTGAGGTCTGTTGGAAACTAGGCAAGTGGGATTTATATATCCATGGAATGTCCAGGGTGGGAGAAAGAACTCTGGTATGGGTTATTGTAGGTTTTTCGGACTATATGGCCATGTTCTAGTAGCATTCTCTCCCGACGTTTCACGAACATCTATGGCAGGCAGCCTCAGAGGTTGTGAGGTCTGTTGGAAACTAGGTAAGTGGGATTTATACGCCCATCGAATGTCCAGGGTGGGAGAAAGAACTCTTATCTGGGTTATTGAAGGTTTTTTCGGGCTATATGGCCATGTTCTAGTAGCATTCTCTCCTGACCTTTCATGAACATCTATGGCAGGCATCCTCAGAGGTTGTCAGGTCTGTTGGAAACTAGGAAAATTGGGTTTATATATCTGTGGAATGTCCCAGGTGGGAGAAAGAACTCCTGTCTGTTGTACTTAGATGTGCATATTTCAGTTGGCCACCTTGATTAGCATTTGATCGCCTGACAGTTTTTCGGTGTGGCTTGTTACTGCCTGAGGGAATCCTTTGTTGAGAGGTGATTAGCTGTCCCTGATTGTTTCTTGTCTGGAGTTCCCCTATGTTTGAGTGTTGTTCTTTATTTACTGTTATAATTTTAGAGTTTTTTTAAATACTGGTGGCCAGATTTTGTTCATTTTCATGTTTCTTCCTTTCTGTTGAAATTGTCCACATGCTTGTGGATTTCAATGGCTTCTCTGTAACTAGGAAAATTGGGTTTATATATCTGTGGAAAGTCTAGGGTGGGAGAAAGAACTCTTGTCTGTTGGAGCTAGGTGTGAATGTTTCAATTGGCCACCTTGATTAGCATTTGATGGCCTGACAGTTTTTCGGTGTGGCTTGTTACTGCCTGAGGGAATCCTTTGTTGAGAGGTGATTAGCTGTCCCTGATTGTTTCTTGTCTGGAGTTCCCCTATGTTTGAGTGTTGTTCTTTATTTACTGTTATAATTTTAGAGTTTTTTTAATACTGGTAGCCAGATTTTATTCATTTTCATGGTTTCTTCCTTTTGTCCACCTAGCTCCAACAGACTTCCTTCTCCCACCCTGGACATTCCACACATATACAATAATGTTTTAGATTGCTTTTAACTTAATATTTTTATTCAATATGTAATTGTGTTGTTGCTGTTTTTGTATGTTGTGGCATCAAATTTTTGCCAGTTGTAAGCCACCCTGAGTCCCCTCTTGGGGGTTGAGAAGGACATAATAAATAATAAACTCAATTTTCCTAGTTTCCAATAGACCTCACAACCTCTGAGGATGCCTGCCATAGATGCAGGCGAAGGAGAGAATGCTTCTAGGACATAGCCATATAGCCCAAAGAACCTACAACAACCCAGTGATTCCAGCCATGAAAGCCTTTGACAATACATTGAACTCTTGTCTGTTTGAGGCAAGTGTCAATGTTGTAAAAAAGAGCAACACTAAAAGGGGGGATACCAGACAAAAATTAATCAGGGCCAGCTAACACCTCCCAACAAAGGATCCACCCAGGCAGCAACCAGCCAGGCTTTGAAGCTGCATGGTCATTCAATGCTAATCAAGGTGGCCAATTGCAACATTCACACTTGCCTCAAGCCGACTAGAATTCTTTCTCCCACCCTGGGCTTTCCATATAAATCTCAGTTGCCTAATTTCCTCACAACCTCTGAGGATGCTTGCCATAGATGTGGGCGAAACGGCAAGGACATTGCCCAGGGGATGCCCAAATGTTTTGATGTTTTATCATCCTTGTGGGAAGCTTCTGTCATGTCCCCACATGGAGAGCTGGAGCTGATAGAGGGAGCTTATCCATGCTCCCCCTGGATTCTAACCTCTGACCTGTCAGTTTTCAGTCCTGCTGGCACAAGAATTTTACCCACTGCTCCACCGAGGACTCCATAAATATAAACCCCACTTGCCTAGTTTCCAACAGACCTCACAACCTGAGGATGCCTGCCATAGATGTGGGCGAAACATCAGGAGAGAATGCTTCTGGAACAATGCCATACAGCCCAGAAAACTCTACAACAACCCAGTGATTCCGGCCATGAAAGCCTTCGACAATACAAGATTATTATTATTATTATTATTATTATTATTATTATCCCTCCTGTCCTCAAAAGGACTAGCTTTCCACACTTGTTGGAAAAAGGGGGTGGATTCTGGAGGCTGTAGTCCACCAGAAGGCCATCCTGTCCAGGAAAGCTGACTCAGACACTGACGTCCAAGTCAAATGCATTGCCATGCTGACCCTTAAACCCCAAATGTCATACTCTTAAACGTCAGCAAGACTCAATCGCAAGACTAGCTTACGAATTGGAAGAGAGGAAGTGGAGGGTAAAAAAAAAAACTTTAACCAAAGAAGGATAGATGGAGCTTATGCATTTAGGGAGGGAAGCGGAGGAAGAGACAACCCTTCCTACTGCATCAATGCTATTGGGCAGCTGAGTTCCCTCTGCATATAGAATAGCTTGCCTCTTCCAACATCAGCACTAGCTTTCCATTGCACTCTCCTTTCTCTCACACATACAAGCCCCCAACCACTTCACAGAGAACAGCTAATCCGCTTCTCTCACACTCCGTGCCGGGGCTTTCTCATGAATAGATGGAGGATCAGCCTCAGCCTTGCTCCCATCCATGGGGCTCAGGTAGTCCGACTGCCTCTGGATCGGAAAGCATCTCCTTTTCTTAGAGGGGAGAGGACCACTCGGATCTTTCCTGAACAAATGGACAGAGGAGCCAAGAGCCAGAAGACCTGTTGACCTGTTGAAAGGAGCACAGACCTCATCAAGCAGTAAGGTAGGATTCTATCAAGCTCTCTCCTTCCTCTTATTGATCACCATTGAATGGGGATGCCTGCTTTCCCAAAACCAATTTGGCATCATGAATTGCAACGGCGATTTGGAAATTGTTTCAGACAATCTTGCAACAATCATGGGTCGAATCTAATCTTATGTCCCCAACTTGAACAGATCAAAGGGATGAGTCACAAGTCACAGCCTGCGTATCTGGCTTGAGTCAAGGGCTAGCATTAACGTAAAGGTTTCCCCCTAACATTAAGTCCAGTCGTGTCCAACTCTGGGGGTTGGTCTCATCTCCTATTCTAAGCCAAAGAGCCAGCATTGTCCATAGATATCTTCAAGGTCATGTGGCCAGCATAACTGCATGGAGCGCCATTACATTCCCACTGGAGCAGTACCTATTGATCTACTCACATTTGCATGTTTTCGAACTGCTAGGTTGGCAGAAGCTGGGGCTGAATCCGCTCCCTGGATTCAAACCTAGAATCATAGAGTTGGAAGAGACCTCATGGGCCATCCGGTCCAACCCTCTGCCAAGAAGCAGGAAAATTGCATTCAAAGCACCCCCGACAGTTGGCCATCCAGCCTCTGTTTAAAAGCTTCCAAAGAAGGAGCCTCCACCACACTCCGGGGCAGAGAGTTCCACTGCTGAACAGCTCTCACAGTCAGGAAGTTCTTCCTAATGTTTAGATGGAATCTCCTTTCTTGTAGTTTGAAGCCATTGTTCTGCATCTTAGTCTCCAGGGCAGCAGAAAATAAGCTTGCTCTCTCCTCCCTGTGACTTCCTCTCACATATTTATACATGGCTATCACGTCTCCTCTCAGTCTTCTTCAGGCTAAACATGCCCAGCTTTTTAAGCCGCTCCTCATAGGGTTTGTTCTCCAGACCCTTCATCATTTTAGTCACTCTCCTTTGGACACATTCCATCTGTGACCTGCAACCTTTCAGTCAATAAATTCGCTATTTAACCTGCATTAGATTATAATTATAATACAAATTATTGCAGCTTTGTTAAAAGCAACAACAACAAAAGAACTAGAATTTAGTACATTGTGGCCGTAATAACAGGTGGCTTTCTAAATCTCCACACACAACATCACAAGAAACCATCCTTGCATAACTCCATACACAAGATTATGAATGCACTCACCTGTGCTCTTAAAGGTACATAAACAATGGAGCATTTGCGACTGAAGTGCAATTCTACCCCTTCAACTCCCCTTTTCTGTTATTCTCAGCTGCGCCAGACTCTTTGCGTACTCACACATGGATCATAACGCTGTTACGCAGATATGCCAATCGAAGCAGAGCCATTCAATAGGTTATGGGGAATAAAAACTCAGCATTTATTGTAGCCGATTTGATCCCGAATCCATGTTCCCTAGTGTTTTGGTGATTATGTATGAAGTGCATTAGACATTTCTTTAAGGACATTACACTCTTTTTCCCTTCTTAAGGGACTTTCCTATAGAAAAGGGGGTGTGTTCAATGGGAAAACATAGGAGGGTTACAAATGGATAACAAGATAATCTGGATCCATATTGAAATCTCAAAAGATGTAGCTAAATGATTGTGGGACAAAGCAGCAGGTGTCTGTGAGATGCTCACAAGCAAAACATTTAAGGCAGACATGGGCAAACTTGGGTGTTTTGGATTTCAGTTCCCACAATTCCTAACAGCATACCTGCTGTTAGGAATTGTGGGAGTTGAAGTCCAAAGCACCTGAAGAGCCCAAGTTTGCCCATGCCTGATTTAAGGTATGGCCAGACTTTTCTTTTTTGTCCAAAATTGGCATTCCAATATAAGATATACTGCTACTGGATACAGAGGCTCCACCTTTGCACTCTGTTCTGCCATATAGGAAGAGGTGTTAGGCTGTATCTTCACTGTGGAATTAATGCAGTTTGACACCACTTTAATTGCCGAGGTGGAAAGCTGCCCCGAGTCCCCTTTGGGGAGATAGTGGCGGGATATAAATAAAGTTGTTTATCTATATAAATAAAAATGTCACGTTCATTTGTGGGATTAACAGAACTCAAAAACCACTGGACGAATTGACACCAAATTTGGACACAAGACACCTAACAACCCAATGTATGTCCTTCACTCAAAAAAAAATGATTTTTTTTCATTTGGGAGTTGTAGTTGCTGGGATTTATAGTTCACCTACAATCAAAGTACATTCTGAACCCCACCAACAATGGAATTGAACCAAATTTGGCACACAAGTTCTCCCATGACCAACAGAAAATACTGGAAGGGTTTGGTGGGCATTGACCTTGAGTTTTGGAGTTGTAGTTCACCTACATCCAGAGAGCACTGTGGACTCAAACAATGATGGATCTGGACCAAACTCTACAGAATACTCAATATGCCCAAATGTGAACACTGGTGGAGTTTGGGAAAATAGAATCTTGACATTTGGGAGTTGTAGTTGCTGGGATGTATAGTTCACCTACAATCACAGAGCATTCTGAACCCCACCAACGATAGAATTGGGCCAAACCTCCCACACAGAACCCTCATGTGGCCCACAGCAACGCATGGCAGGGGACGGATTATTATTATTATTATTATTATTATTATTATTATTATTATTATTGGAATCCTGGGATTTGAAGTTTAGAAAAACACCAGCCATCTTTGGCAAAGAAGGGTGAAGACTTGATAAAACTACAATTCTCATGATTCCATAGCATGGCAATTAGAGTGGTGTCAAACTACATCCATTCTACTATGTAGATGCATAACTAGTTACTTGCTAGCTTCAACAAAAAGGGGGTGGATAAGGGTTTTTTGGAATGTCATGCGTAATGATAACAAACCACACATGGCTGGGATGTGTTGTGGATACAACAAAAGGGCTTAAAAGTGCATTTACAGCATTCTAGTTTTCTTTTTTACCTGTACATAAATCATAATTCAAACTTTTCCCTTTCCCTCCCAAATTACCAATTCATCAATTTGCACCCAATGACTCTGAAGGCCAAGGTTTGAAACCCCATTGGGCTGGTCACACTTGCTCAACCTCCAGCGATAGGTGCCCTTTAGGGCTGCCACAAGTTGAAAACGACATTGACAGAAGAAACTGTTGAATGGAAGGGATTAAAATACATGTTGCAAATAACTTTTAAAAAAATATTATAGTGTACGATCTCATTAATTAATTGCTCCTCTGGGGCCTGCCTTTGTTTGCCTGCCTTCTGTACCCTGAAACAGCTGGGTGCACATCCATTAGCAGACCTTAATGGGTCTTGGCAGCTCTGGAGCACGTGGCGGGTTGTTCCCCAGGCGGTAGCACATCTTTGTGAGTGATGATTATTAGCAGCACTCTTCCCCTTCATAAGCAGAAGGACTGATGGACGAGCCTCATCAAGGAAGCATTATTAGAACATTTGGAATGCTTGGAAGCTTCCTTGAGTCCCCTCGGGGAGATAAGGCGGCCTATAACTAAAGTATTATTATTATTATTATTATTATTATTATTATTATTATTATTATTATTGGGGGCGTAACAAGCTGCTCCTCCCAGGAGAAGGGAGGAAAGACTTGATGCTGCTCCACCGCCTTCTGATTTGGACTGCAGCTCCCATCATCTCCAACAGCAGGTAGGTGAAAGAGGGGAGTGTGTGCTCGAGGCTGGTGGGACATCCATCTCCATGGGCTTTATGGGATGCTCTCCCTTCTGTTGACATCCATCCACCTGGGATCCTCTCCCTTTTGTTTTGGACTACATTTCCCATCATCTCCAACTCCCAGGTTTTGAGGAGAGATTTTGCTTAAGGCTGATGGGACATCCACCCCTGTTGGCTTGAATATATTCATTTCTATTTTCGACTGCAGCCCCCATCATCTCTGTCTATAGCTGCTGGGGGGTATTTACTTTGAAGCTGTTAGGGTATCCATTCTTCTAGGCTTGGTGGGATGCTCTCCTTTCTGATTTGGACTGAAGCTTCCATAATCTCTGAACTGGAAGTAGTCTGGGGAGATTTCATTTGAGACTGATGGGACATCCATCACTCCTGGATACTCTCCCTTTTGTTTTGGATTGCAACTCCCATCATCTCCAAACTCAGGTGTTGGGAGTTGATTTCTTTTGAAGCTAATGGGACATTCAGCCCTATGGGCCTGAATTCTCTTCTTTCTGGGTTGGTGTCAGTTTTCCAGGCTGTATGGCCATGTTCCAGAAGCATTCTCTCCTGATGTTTGGCCAACACATGGCCATAAAACCCTTAAAACTCACAGCAACCCAGTGATTCCAGCCATGAAAGCCTTCAAGAATGCATTGAACAGTTCTCCTTTCTGGTTTGGACTTCTGCTCCCATCATCTCCGTCCACAAAATCTCTGTGGGGAGATTTTGTTGGAGGCTAATGGGACATCTGCCCCCATTGATTTTATAGGATATTTACCTTTCTGTTTTGGACTATATCTCCCAACACCTTCTGACTGCAGATGATGGAGAGATATCCTGTTTGAAGTTGATGGGACATTGTTGTTGTTGTTTTTGTTGTTACAGTTGTTACATTATTATTATTATTATTATTATTATTATTATTATTATTATTATTTCCATCCTGCTTTATCTCTCTGAAAAAGAGAAACCCAAAATGACATGTAGGGGAAACATTTGGAGGAATATAGTGCTGCTGCAAGGTGATGTTGGGCAGCTAAAATCAATTGTTAAACAATAGAGTCTGTCTGCAATCTATGCATATATATTTGGCAGCAAGCTTCACTGAACACATGGAAGGCAAGTCATAGTAAACATTGCGCTTATATCTATCATCATATTTATGAATTTTTCAAACTAATGACTGGCGAATGTACTGGAAAGGAAAATGGGTTCCCTTGGAACTGGAAAGACCAGTATCCACTAATTGCAGTGATGCAAAAGTGTCTAAACACATAGAAATTCAATGTATACATACAAATACAAATGTCAGTAAAACATAGGATTGTCATATTCACATTAAACAGAAATAATTTGTTCTTTTCT